CCCCAAAACCCCAAAACCCCAAAACCCCTAATCCAGGCTATAGATTGAAACTTATTCCTGAGCGGAGGCGTTCACTGTGAACCTCCACCTCTGATGTGACTTTGTGCTACTTTCTTTCAAGTTCTTCTGCTTTGACTTAGCTCCTTTCTTTTTCCCACCTATCTTACCATGTTTATACTTGTTGTAATAACTCCGAGTTGGATGGTTCGATACTATCGAGGGGACTACCTTCCTCTCTTTAGTAGAGTACTTTAAGTTCTCGATCTCTGGGTCTTGGGGAATTTTTATTTTTGAATTAATTGGTCTTGTGAGATTCTTATTAGTTTTAAAACCTGTCTCTGTCAACACTAATTCTTACCTCCTTTCTTTTTCCTCATTGCCGAATATTTAGTTTTGCGCTGATATTTTTGGATAAATTAAAGTCTTCGAAAGCATAGTAACAACAGAGCTTTTAGGCTTGACTTTTCATGAATATTTTGGGTTTTTAGAGACTTTTAGAGTTCCTTTCTTCTGCCTTGGTTTTGAGATTAATTCATCAATATCAACCTGACCAGGAGCTGTATATTTCCTATGGGTGTTTCTTATTTTGCTTTTATGAATAACTTTCTGGGATGGTTTCCCACAATCTTCTTCATGAAGCTCTATTTTTATCAGATTTCCCTAAATTTTAGAAAGTGATGTACTTCATTTCTGTTGATTCGAGGAGCTTCTCATACACTTTGATTTCTGTTGAGGTTGTTCTCTCCATCGTCCGAAAACAATCTTCTGCCTACAGTATTGTGGCTTGTGTCTAGCAAATTGATATGTTTCTCTGCATAACCACTCTGGTTCAGCTTCTCTTCCCTTTCCAAAGATAAGGGCTGCCTTTTCAAGTTCTTGATCTGAATTGAAGACTGGAAATCATCATAACTCTGGGCGCTAGTTTGATCTAGGATTAACTGTTAAGCTTACTTTTAGTATTCTCAAGTTTCTTCGTATTGAAATTAAGTCTTGTAGTCATATTGAATGATTTAGCCACTCTATTTTGGCTATTAGTCATTCTCTGCTCACTTCCTTTCCTACTTGGGATATACTGGTGTTGAGCTTTGTTTTTATTATAGAAACCTTTTCTACTTGATTTGGAGTGATTATCTCTGCTTCTTGAGCCTCAATCTTCTCGAGCTGTCATAATCCGCTGAGATTCTCTACTGCTTTGCCTGATAACATTGACGAGCCATAAAGAGTCTTTATCAACTCTGTGAGAAGTTCTTGTCGTTAAATCTCGATTTGTACTGCTAGAAATTCTTTTTGCTTCTTGCAGGTATTGAGTTGCAGAAGGTCTGATGTTGCTGTTTAGAGCTCTCGGTAGATATCCTTCTTGCTAGCAAGGTCTTCGGTGTCTTTAATGTTTTCTTCACCCTCAACATACCCTTTGCTTATTATCTGAGCTGAGCAAGAGCGAAGATCACCAAGCTTGCTCTCACTCATGGTTGAGGAGAAGCCATTCTTGGTCCTAGAGTTTGCCTGAGGCCTAGAAATGTAGTCATAAAATTATAAACCTTAATAAATTCTGGAGTATTTTAGGAATTGAACATTTCTTACATCTTTTTCTTGATTTTCAAGATATCCACTTTAATATGCATAGGAGTATCAACAGTCGCCATATTGTGAGGCTGAGATGTAGAGGCTTTACTGGGATATTTTGAATTATTTAGAGTACAACAACTTATCAATTTTAGAAGACAGCTCTTTCCGTTGTATTCGCTCCTATTCCATATTACTTCATGGTCAGAAATAAAGCAAAGGGACTAAGCAGGACGAATTAAAAATTTACCTTGCTCTGTTGCTTTCTTTTCCTGATTCAATCTAATAATCCAGGCTTGTTAGGACCAGCGCTAGAAATATAACCGCATTGTTACCTTTGGCTATATTTATAGATACTTGAACTAGCATCCTTCAGTCGAAGTCTAGTTGTCGTAAACTCTCGTTTCTGTGTGATATGGTTAAATGACTTAGCATTGGCATTTTTATCCCTTTCTGTAGCCAACTTCCTCACAGGGCTTGATTTATTCAGGGCTTTTAGCACTGAAGATTCATTCTGACTTCTATAGTTCAACTTAAACCTTAAATGGCTATTTCTTACCATCAATCTGAGATTTTAGCATTTACTGCAGTCTTTTCTAGTATTTTTGGTCGAGAACCCATGGCTTTTTCCATTTTTATTTTATACTTGGCCTCCTTCAAACTGGATAATCTAGGCTTGGAAGGTTTACTAGAAAATGATCAGAAATACTTACAGTAGATTCGAAGAATGAGTCTTAAGAAACTGCCTCACACAAGTGTTTGAGCTAATCTGTCTGCTCTTGCAGAAGTCTGACATTTGAAATATTGATGTTCAATTTATAAAGAATTTTTGGGGTTTTGGGGTTTTGGGGTTTTGGGGTTTTGGGG